GGTGTTTCTGAAATAAGTAGCAAGCTTGCAGGAAGTGATTAAATGAGCGTTTCTGTGTCCCAAAGGTTACCGTTTCTAAAAAACGTAGTACAAAGTACAGGTAGAAAGAATTGCAGCAATGCAGAGTCGCATTCAATCAGCTGATAGTTAGCAGCATCCGTATTGTATGTCTTCTGTATTTTTTTAATCATGCATTGTTTACTATTTGTTTTTTTAATGTTGTACATTTGTATGTCAGTCGAATTGGCAGTAAATCAGTATGTCACTGCCATAAGTCAGTATAGAACAGTAGTTGTTACAATGGCAGAACATTATGACATGATACTAATTTACGACTAACGTAAATACAAAACCAATGAAACGATCGAATTGTATTGCCACTTATTTCAGAAACACCCTGTATAGGCATGAATACATATGGTACGAATCAAATGTTGTGTCGTATCTGGAGTTACAGCAGGTTGACGACCCTATTAAAAAACGATTCATACTTCGAAAAATCATTAAAATTATGAGAGAGCCGTTTCTTTATAAATTACAAGTCAAGCTGATACAGTAATGCAGTACCAAAGGGACCGTCAAAGGCTTGTGTGGCTCCAGCCGCCCACAAAAGATAAAAGACAGTATATAGGAGGCAATTTAAAAGTGAGTTCGATGTCAGCAGAAGGACCTGCCTCTTGATGCGCTTATGACTTTAAGGGCGATTGAGCTAATTTCGCTCTTTGAAACGGTTATATTGACGATCTTTTTATACTTTAATGAAAGGAAGTTGAAAAAGATTAAAAGGTGCTGAAATAAATTACGAGTCCTGATCAAGAACGTTGTACAACGAAAAGGCACTGAACTGAAGATTCTAGAGAACTTTCTTTTCTGAACAAATTACTTCCAGTTTTTATTATTAGTTACTATTTATTTACTTATTTGTTTTGAATTTCTACCATATTTCGGTTATCTCTTTTCCATGTGGAAACAAGAAAAATGATACGTTCATTCTTACATATTATTTATTGCGGGCTTTGCCAATTTCGATAGTCCCAACTACACTGTGGACAAAGAAGATTAAAAATGAGGAGGTAGGAGAACAAAAGGCGCTATGGAAGTCAATAAGAAATAGGCGAGATAGACTGGTAAGGGCATGAAAGGCTTGCTAGAGTAATTAAAAAACAGAAAATAGAAATAGACGTAGGTTAGACTATTATTCACAAATAGTTAAGGATTCTAGTTTTAGGGAAAAATTAAAATTAGCTCAGGATAGGAAAGAGTGGAAGTGCACGTCTCAAGATGACCGTAGACCGCATACTGTGACCTTCATCCTCCTCCCTCAAATATGCGCCATTACTCACTCATATTAAAAACTTTCACCAAGTGTTAGAGATCAATTCAATCATATGGTTAAATTTAAAACAGTGAAAATGTAATTTTCCATGGTAGCTAACTGATTTTATCTATTCAAATGATAATAACAGTTGACTGTTAATTATTGTAATATAAATAAGCATTTTATTAACGATCCATTAAAACCTCATAAAATATGTTAGATGCTTCTTTTTCTTAGCTTTTTATGAACGTTTTCTTGGTTGTTGTTGAAACGCTTAGCCCTAAACCTTATTGTAAAAGTCCTATTTTCGTAACACGTAGCTGTTTTACGAGATCTCAGCATGCGTGAGTTGCAAGTTCCTAGGTAATTTATACAGTTAACCTTTTCGAAATTTTACGAGTTCCATATTTCTAAGGCGCGTTTTATATTTTTCATTCTCGTTCTAAAATAGAGTTCACTAAATGTCCATGATTAAGTAGCTTTAGAAAGTGGTGCGCTATACGACCGAATGTCTTTCATTTTCATAATTTAGAGAAATCGATTACTTCGTGACCGTTTTAACTAAATTTCACATCTTTTATGTATTCAGTTAAAAATGAATTCTTTCTGATGATAGAGTGTGGGCTTTCACGGCCGGTATCAAAGATGATGTTATCAGTTGAAGATAGTCTTTAGCTGAAGATTCCATCATCAACCGAAGATATCGTCATTGGCTGAGAATTCCGTCATCAGCTGAAGATTCCCTCTTTAGCTGAAGATTCCGTCATCAACCATAGACTCCGTCATCGGCTGAAGATTCCGTCATCAGTTGAAGATTTTGTTTTTAGCTGAAGATTCCGTCATCATTTGATGATTTCGTCTTCAGCAGAAGATACAATCTGCAGCTGAAGATGAAGTATTAAGAATTTCTGCCTATAGGAGACCAAAGTAAGGTAAGCTGGCGAGTAACACATTAGTTCTGTCTCTTATTTATAAATATATATTTAATCAAGCTGTATTTCTTTACTTGTGAGGTAAGAATACCACCTTTTCGATTTATGTAAAGAAACCTTTTCACATAAATAGAATGATCAATAATTACTGACTACCTATAGCATATCATAGGTTATGTCTTTATGTTTGTCTTTCTGTAATGGTACTTACAAAGAATGAAGGTATTCCATTTTAAAAGATACTAAAGGGTGGATAGTAAATGACAACATCGTTTTTATGCTAATAGATGTGAATGAGCAATGAAATGTTTCATATGGGTAGTTCTTATTTCTCTAATAAAGCTGTTATTGTTTTTTAGAAGCTCGAGAAACCGAATAAGTCTCGATGATTGCCGATTATTATTAAATCTTACTAATTCTCTTATCTCTATAAAAACTTTAGACAAAGGTCCCATTTGAAATGATACTTCGATTACCTGATCAATTGAGACAATATTCATGTACAAGCACAAGTTAGTAAGATCTAACATTTCTTTCTAAAAGGAATGCACATCCGAGATGAGCCAAAATCTTCAGAGTAAACGAGTAAAAGCAGTGCGGTTTAAGAAGTAATCTACAAGCCAGTCTTACGTTTCTGTTGTCTGCGCGATCGCAGTAAACTGTCAATACAGTTTAAGCCACTGATTCGGCGAAATAAAATATAGTGGTAGTGAGGTAATGACTAGGTTACGTCGGAAATTGTGTTAAACCTCAAATGAATAGTTACGGTTATTAGTAAAGGTTTAGGTAGTGATGTATTAATTAAAAAATCTAACCAAAGTGGTTATGACCAAGTTGGACTTTCTTATATTACGACTACATCCTATTGTCTTTATGCCAATATTATGTACTGACAGTGCGGCTGAATGATACATTTTCATATCAAAGTCTAACGATCTTTATCGACATTAACCAATGAATATATCTTTATGTAAATGTGTAATGTGTATATATTGATGGTGAAACTTATAACACACTTTCCTGCTTCCTAGGAAGATTTTTCAATATTTTCATCGTATCAAGCTAAAAATTAGTCACCTACCTCAAAGGTAAGATTTCCTATATCGTCTCTAATATAAAGCATTATGTAGTATACAGCAGTATAGGTAAACTGTTAAAAAAGTATAATAAGTAAATTGTTAAACATAATAATTTCTGGATATAATTCAAAGAGCATATTAAAATTCATGAATGTATGAAAGCTGAAGCCCTATGATGAAGTACTTCCAAATATAGTTTGATACTAAATCTTCACCAGTTTGATAACGTTGCATACTGGCAGAATTTCTATGTTTATTAATAAAAGTATGGACATTTTTTCTATAAATCTTTGCTTTCAATCAACTACTCGTGAATACTAATATAATTAAATGAGGTTCATGTCAATTACTACGTTCCTTTTGGACAATTTTCTCTATCGCATTTGATGTTAACCGAATGTGGTTAAATATTTTATTTAGAAACATTGTCAGTTTTTGTAGATTAATGTGAGACTACGGCTTTTAATTTGTTGCTGTAATATTTATCTTATTATTAAAGTCTTGCATAAAATAAGATGATTTCTGCTAAAAACAAGGTACGCAGAATACATGTGTGTACGGGTTGTGTTTGAATATACGTGGCGATATGTTCGCCTAGAAAGGAGCGGTTGCGACGGGAAGTGCCCCGGTAAAGAGTGAAGGGGTAGAGGAAAGGTATATAAGGTATGAAGAGAGTCAGTCGGGCCTGAGCTAGCGTTTAAGGTAGATGGGACGTGATGGCCTAAGTTCTGATCTGTTTTAACACAAGTTGTAATATTATAGGACTGTGAAATGTAATAACCATCCTACTAGTTTCGTAAGTCACAACACATTTGTAGTTTATTATAATTTTGTTGTCAAAATTAATAAAAGATATACCTACACAATATAAATTGCCTCATTGCATCGTCATTTTCCTCAATTGTTAAATATATAAAGATCATAGATTTTGTTGACATCTATATTAAAATGAACCGGTACAATATACAAATAGGGGAAGGCTGAGCATGCTTTCGTTGGGTGAGGACGACGTTACAGTAGAAAAATTGTAAGGGCAGAATAAAAAAGGTTTTCGGATTCAACACATGAACCAAGGGAGTAATAATTGCCCAATAAATAATGGGTTACAAATATGAATACGAGTTGTAGAACTTTAGAGTAATTGATCCTTTTGCAACAAAGAAGATGCTTCTCGTAAACCTATACCTTATCTCTCAATTGGGGTTTTGTTTTCAAATCCGAATGTAGTAACTCATATGAACAAACGGGTCGTCTCGTGTTCAACGAAGTTTGGAAGTGCTTTATTATTTAGTCTATGAGAGTCGATGACAACTACAAATACCTTCAGTCATCCCTTCATGTACGTAAATGAGAAGTAATATAAGTCAATTAAATACAAATTAAATCTTTCGGAGGTTGTTACGGTTTGTTCAAAAGATTTTAAAAGTTTAGGACAGTTTTTAGCGAAGCAAGTGATATTTTCCGATAAATGCGGTTGATAATTTTTGTTCTATTTATACTTATGCGTTTTCGTTCGCAAAACAAAAAGACAATATTCCTGCTTGTATATGTATAAAAAGTATCTACTTACCTGGTCAGTTATTTCACTTATAAACGGTCACTTTATTTTGGAACTTTTACACAAATTCGGATTAGTTTAGAGGTTCGACAGTATGGAAATAAAAAAATTGATTCATTTCAAAAAAATGGTATTATTTGTATTTGTTTGTTATAAAACATCTTTTATAAATCTATAATATATCATCGTATTTTCACATTACCGATATAAAAATTAAAAAGCTTGAGAACTGTACAGTTACCTGCACTATCACACTGAGTGAGATAACCCTTACCACTAAAATCCATTAAAATAATTAAAAAAAAAAAAAACAGTCTCTTGACCGGCGTATACGACATACAAGAAGACCTAACTTTGAATTTTTAAGAATACAAATCACTGAGATCACATACAGTCACCTTTGGTGCGAGAACGCCGGTTGAAAATACTGATTTCTTGCAACCATTCCTCAGCGGAATTTGCACCCCATTCGAGCAGAGTCGAAAGGGGGCAAAATGCCGAGGTGAACACCGGCGACCGCGCTTACAAAAAAAAATATTTTACCGTAACTAATATCACAAACTTAAACATAAATTCTCAGGTCAAAATTTAATCGGAAAACACATCATCTTATCACCGACACAAAATAAATTCGTCGTTACAAAACCCCTCGAACGGGGTGGCACAGGCATGCTCCTACTACGCCTCCTCACAAGATTGTTGATTTTTATTGCGATCCTTAAATTTCTACGAATTTTAGTTTTTTGTAATTATTAATATACATTTAGAGTCCCTACGTGTATCTACTATCACACCTGAGGAAACCGCACGCGGTCGGTATCCCACATTTAATACTACGGACAACAATATTATTAAATGATGAGAATATAATATATATATATATGATGAGTGACAATGAGAAATTAACTTAAAAATCATTTCGCAGTATAAAAACAAACACGATTATTTATCCATGAATATTTATGAGATGATGCGGTGATCGTTTTACTTTTTTTAATATTCAGTCTTGGCATATAAGCAAAGCGACGGACTCGACGATTCGGGCTCTCCGTTTGCCGATTCAGTCGACGTACGATCTATACAATTTCTTCTTTGTTAATTCATATTCAGAACTGATCATTACCGTGCCGCCTCGCGTTATTTTTCTGAAACAAAAGAAAATTAAATTGTAGACAAACAACATAGGACGTGGCATATATAATTAAAGTCGAAAAGTAACTATTATTAAGACACCTTCCGAATCTGGGTTACAAGCAAACGACAGTTAACTCTTTTAACTGTTAGTGGATCTCATGAACTGCTAGCGTTAACCCAGTTCAGGCGTGCAACATCATCATCATATCATCATAACGCCGTCAGTCCTAAGACCGGTCGGACACGCACCTCCACTCTTTCCTGTCCTAAGCTGATCTTCGCATTTCCCTAAAACTATTAGCACATCCCAAGTCCTTAACTCTTCTAATCCTCTTAACTCCTATTTCTGCCTCTCATATGTCTCTGACTAGACCTTCATGCCTGAGAAGGTGTCCCACCAACCTATCTTGCCTATTCCTTATCGTCCTCTGTTCTCCTATTCTTTCTAAAACCTCTTCATTTTTAACCTCTATCCACGATATCCTCATCATTCGCCTGTAACACCACATTTCGAACGCTTCTAACATTTTCTTTTCCGCAACACCCACCGTCCATGTTTCGAACCCGTATAGCGTCGCGCTCTAAACATACATCTTCAACAATCTTTCGAATTTTCCAAATTAACCGTACGCGAGCATAGAAGTGACTTCTTTTTATTGAAGAAGACTTGACCCTGCGCTATCCTCTGCTTTATATCCCTACTACTTCTTCCGTCCTGACTTGTCTGACTTCCTAGATACCGAAAATCAACCACTTTTAATTTTTAGCCTCCTATCTTTTTATATACTGTTTTGTCAATACCGCCTCTTATTTGAACCTATCTCTAACTCCCCCTTGCTAAATGCTAATACGGCTATACCATCTGCAAATCTAAGCATACTAATCTTTTGCCCCTGTATACCTATCCCTGCAATTGTCCTGTCTTTAATGATGTTAATCGCGTCTTCGATGTACAGATTAAGAAGTAGCGGTAACGGTGTGCGTCCTGGTCTGACTCCCTTCCTAATATTTACTACTCTACGTGCAAGATAGAAAAAAATACTTACTTCAAGAACTGCGGCAGGAAAGAGTCCCAGCCCCTTGGATTTTCCTTAAGCGTGAGATACAGTTCGAATGTGCTGGCGGTGTATGGATCGCACTTCACCGTACTTAAGCGTCTGCTGTCTTCGTCGCTAGCGAAATTGAAGTAAAGGGTGCAACCTCGAAGCCCGCAAGGTTCAGAATCTGCCATCACTAGGACGTCCCTTGATATTCTTTGAAGAAGACCGCACGGTAAAAGAACCTCACCGCAAGACAGGTGAGTCCTTTTGGCCGCACGGAGCTCTTCTTCTAACCGTTTCGACAAAGCGCTGACTATTGGCTCGTTATCTTCGTCTAAGGTTGGATCGTACTCGTAATCGAGTTCTGGAACAAAAGAGAAGTGACGATGAGCAAAATGGAAAAGAAAATTGACACTCCTATAACTCTCACAGATTATAAAAAACAATTCAAACGACTAAATAAGATCCGCTTCAGCTAACAATGAATCTATTTTCCCAGAAAGGAAATAAGGAGAGACAAAAGGAACAAATAAATCCAAACGAAATCAAAGAGGCTCTCTTCTGGAGTTACAGTTTCTGAAAGGCATTGTGTTCATTATTATGATTACCATTGCTGAACAGTAATTGCACCGTGTATTCGCAAAAGTTGCAGGCCATTCGCCGAAAACAGTGACAACAAATGCGCTTGTGTTCTCCGCAACAATAATAGCCAATATACGGTGCCGGTAATAATAGGTTGGCGTACGGCAGTGTGTCAAAGCAAAATCAGCTGTGCGAACAGAACAAGCAGCGCTTTCTATAGCGGGACGGTAACGACCTAGCGTGACCTATGTTCTCGGGTAGCAACAGTGAACGTTTTCACTTTAGCTGCCGGCTTTCCATCCTTTTCACTAACGTTTACGCTCCTCGTCCAACAACAGCTGCGCTCTATCGTTTGGCTACAAGCCCCCTCATACGTACACTAGTCAACTTGTTCCGCGTTCGAAATCGCGGATACATATATATATGTATGGATTGTATATACATATACAATGTATTTGCCATTGCCAAATCCCAGCGTTTTTGTAAATGAGAAAATGTCAGGATATTGAAAATTAGTCGTTCAGAAGCAGTTAGCAAGGAAAAAAAGCAAGAGCGCCTACCACTAAACAACTAGCTAAGGTGTCCACTATCAGTGGACGATGCCTATCAAGTATTCTAGTGGGCTATTTAAAATCTCTTCAAAGTTTACTCAGTTGTATGGCACTGATATATTGAAGGAACTAATGTAAAATGATGTGGAACTACAACTCTAGACCCAATGAATTTTTGATGGTTTCACGAACGTTAATTGGAAATTAGAAGCACCACAAACTAAGGAGGTACCTAGGTGGTTTGTGATGTAATGAGGATTGAGGACAGTTTTTTAACAACAGAAGCCTTCCGAAATTTTATTTCTTTCTAATGCCATTGACCGATTCTTTTTAGTAATCAAAATCGAAAACTTAGTAGAGAATAATTGGATGGCAGGAAACATCAGATAAAGCCCATTTTCATAAAAGAAATTCAAAAATTAAAAGTGGCGGCAATCAAGTCTTTAAATTTCTAGACCAGAGTATCTAAACCAGAAAAAAATTGAAATTTATGAATTGAGGCAAATCTCAAAAAGAACTGCAATCCATTTTTTTAAGTGAGCCCTAACTTATAACTAGACCATAAAGCAAGCAGAACGTTTAGAAACTTACCATTTTGATTATTGTAGGTATGACTTGAGACCGGTATTACTTCCATATCGTTAGCGAGACTGTTCTGGAAAGGAACAAAGAAACAGCTGATTTCTCTTCAACCGTAGAACGACACTACTTTCTTGCGCTGAACGTCGACTGATAACAGGAACCGGCGAAACGCCGGTTTTATAAACAGCACGTCCCTACTCCAAAGACCTGGTCATGTCGGCCATATTCGTTCGCGTTCGGGATGGTCTACGTGATGCTGAAGCTATACTCTCTGTTGTTTTAATAATGGCCCTTTGTTCGAAAATTGATGTTTTCTTGCATTATAATTAGGTTAGCTCAACCGGTTTTCATGATCGTGCATCTCTGCGGAAATGAAAAAATTATCTAGGCTTTAGGAAGGTAACGATTTGACGAACTACAGCCGCTAAAATAAGCAGAGCAAAGTAGGCTGATGCAATTTGTTGTTGCTAAGTCTCTAAGTTGGCTGTGGTTGGATTTCTATTCCTACTACCTATCCTATCGTTTTAACGCAGATAAAAATTTGTTCTATTCGAATCTACATCGAATAGGTTTCTTATTCTGAAATTGCAAACAAATTGATTCTTGAACATAAAAATGCAGTTACTACTAGAAGAAGACCTTCTACTTCGTTCACATCAAAATTGTACTATTCAAAAGTACTTTGATCAATTAGCCAATTTGGCAATGCCTATGCGCTTTTAGAAACAATGGCTGATGCAACAATCAATAGAATTATTTTCTACGACTGCTAAAATTAAAAAAAAAATAAAGCAGAATGGTTAATTGGGCATTAATCGATTTCGATACGTTGAAACTGCAATCAACTATGGATTCATGCAGAATTCGTCAGTAAAGCATTAGAATAATGCTGAATAGATAAGAACAAAATTGTAGCATGACTAAGAATGACGCTAAAATGCCATTATTTCTTTTGTCGAGGAAATTATTTGGATTGCTTCCTATAGAATACCCACTATTGTCTTGACGAACTTGGCTGATGCAATAATCGCAATATTATCGAGCGATTGGGAGAGATAACGTTGCCAGCATTTACCTAATTAAAGCAGAAGCCGCAAAGTCTAAAATAAGTGATGATGACTGAATTAAAGTTACAAGTTACATCAGGGTTTTGACAACTACGTGCTGTATATTTGACGTACACGTATGTTATTTACTTTGGCGAGGTCGTTGCGATAACGAAATCAAAAAAAATAATACCTATCTACAATTATGATATTTTTGCAAGTCTGATGATATGATTAATAAAAATTCGCACATTATCTAAACGACATTGTCTGTCGACCTACATCGGCAATTTAGCCATATTTTTATGAATATTCACGATTAGTTAGTAATTTTTGTCTAGATCAATGGACATTATCTACTGGTTTTAAACGTATTTGTATGCTTCTATGTGTGTATGTATGGCGTGTATAGTATCTGTGTGTGCAGGCTCTAGTGCCTACTTAGGTACCCACTGACAGATATATATATCTACAATACCTATGCCAGAGAGTCTCTTGGTAACAAACGGAATTTTCCGTGCACGAACAAAGTAAAAACACGTTACAGCATGTTTAACACAGCTGTTTAGGTTTTGGATTGCGTATTTATAAAACTTAAGCTCTGTTTGTGTTCTTTGATTACAGTGTATCAAAATATACCTATGTCTTATTATTGCACATTGCATACTGCAATAAACAAGCGACAAAGCAATAATCTGCATATAGTTTATTAATTACTGAATATCAATGCCAATCTACAAAATGAGACATTTTAGAACATGGCTAAACAACTAAGAACAGCGCTGTTTTCCATCAAATTTTATTCTGCTCCAAATACGAAAGAAGCAACCGCACAATTTTATTGTTCAAATCAGTAAATAATCAACTGCGAAGTCCATAATTCTTTTTACATTCGTCAAAATGGGCGAGCCTTACAAAAGCCGAACATGAACTTGAAAAATTATAAATACATATGGGAATTCCATTGATATGAAAAATATCTTTGGGTGCTTCATTCCCATCAACTATCTACTGATGCTGATGCTAAGTACCACTTGATTAAGCCGAAGGATTCGGCGGAAAGTCTTTCCAGTCTCCTGTTAGGATTTCTGGGAATGGATGGGTGTCGGTTGATATGAGAAAGTTGAGACGGATGAAATGAAGACAGAAGAGACTGGAAGATAATCTGTCGAATATTACTGCCCCAGCATTTGCCTCAATGATCAAAGGAAATCATAGAATAGCATAGACCAGTGCATATGGACCTGAATCGAACCTGTCCTCGCGAATGCTTAGCAGTAGTCTAAACTTCTAGGTCATGCCGCTCAGTACTTTGATATAAAAGAGAACTTGGGTGAAATATTGCTGCCCCAGCATTTACCTCAGTAATCCAAGGAAACCACTGAAAATTTTGGATCGAGGTAGACGAACCTAGAATCAAACCTGTGTCCTCGTGAATGCGAAGTAGTGGTCTAAACTTCTAGGTCATGCCGCTCAGTACTTTGATATAAAAGAGAACTTGGGTGAAATATTGCTGCCCCAGCATTTACCTCAGTAATCCAAGGAAACCACTGAAAATTTTGGATCGAGGTAGACGAACCTAGAATCAAACCTGTGTCCTCGTGAATGCGAAGTAGTGGTCTAAACTTCTAGGTCATGCCGCTCAGTACTTTGATATAAAAGAGAACTTGGGTGAAATATTGCTGCCCCAGCATTTACCTCAGTAATCCAAGGAAACCACTGAAAATTTTGGATCGAGGTAGACGAACCTAGAATCAAACCTGTGTCCTCGTGAATGCGAAGTAGTGGTCTAAACTTCTAGGTCATGCCGCTCAGTACTTTGATATAAAAGAGAACTTGGGTGAAATATTGCTGCCCCAGCATTTACCTCAGTAATCCAAGGAAACCACTGAAAATTTTGGATCGAGGTAGACGAACCTAGAATCAAACCTGTGTCCTCGTGAATGCGAAGTAGTGGTCTAAACTTCTAGGTCATGCCGCTCAGTACTTTGATATAAAAGAGAACTTGGGTGAAATATTGCTGCCCCAGCATTTACCTCAGTAATCCAAGGAAACCACTGAAAACTTTGGATCGGAGTAGACGGACCCGGAATCTAATCAATGTCCTCTCGAATGCTAAACAAGGGTCTAAATCTAACCCTCGTAGTCATTCTGGATATCGCTGTAGTACCCAGCACATCGAATTATACCACAATGTATAGTGATGATTACAGATTGGATCATAATTTCAACTTTGTTTTTGCTCTGTTTTTATGCATGCAGCGGGTGTATGTCACTATTTATTTAATTTTGGTGTTTAATAATCAAAATTATACAAAAGACTGCTTACTTCAAGGATAGTTCCTTTTTACAACATTTCGCTATTCATTGTGATTTATGTATGTACCCGCTTACATAAAAGATGTGCGAAGTTTTTTCGTGTTGTCTTTTTATTTTTCGATTTCAATTTTAAATTTGCAATGTAAAATAAATATTTATTTTTTACTACACGTGCCTCGCTATAAAGCGTCAGAGATTTATAAATATTGGTACACACGAACGAGGCACATGTACCTAACACCTATACCCAGATGCAGTTAAAAAATTTTCTATTACTGGGTGCTAATAACATTTCCACCTGTGCTATCCAATAATATTATTGTGGATTTATAATAGTTTCATTCATGGGTAATCATTTAAAATAAGTGAAATACGTTTGGAGCAGGGCTCCTAAAAGAAAAATTTAAGGAAGTCCAAGTTAAAGTGGACTCGATATAGTTTGTAGCACATCTAGTGGTATCGGCATGGCCTACAGGTTTAGACCATTGCTTAGCATACCCTGGTCCAAGTTTTTCTGTGGTATCCCGGGATTATTTAGGTAAATGCCGGAGCAGATAATAATCTTTAACTCTCTTCTGTCTTCATTTCGTCCATTTCATCTTTCTCACCCCAATCACCACGCACCCCTTCCACGATTCCTAAAAGTATGCTGAAGTGGGTTTTTCGCTTTACCCTCCGGCGTAGTCCATAAGAAGCGCCTGTCCACCAGCATTAGGGTACCCGGCAAAACCACTTATCCGGTGCATCTTGATTACATACATATCAAAAGCAGAAACAGGATTTTAGAAGGACAGAGAGAGACCTATGTTAGATTTTATTGTTCTCAAACAGTTAGAGATATACGTTCTTCTGGTTTTCTTGATATGAGAAGGCTGGCTCAAGATCGGAAGAAGCAGAGGTGCGTGTCCAAGCAGTTTTCAGACTCAAGATCTTATAATGATGATGATGATGATGATATGAGCTACTCTAATTTCAAATGCAACATTTGATCATCTGACTGAATGTTTAGTTACTTAGCTGGAGAAAACAACGCTGCCTTTTTATAGTTAGTGACTTAGTCGTAATCCATGCACAATGCCTAATTTTACAGATTGGCTTGTAAATGAGCTTTTTTTTAATGCCTAATCCCCAAAAAGGATTACATCAGCTTATTCTTATTCTGGAATATTCCCAAAACGTACTATAATTTTAATCTCACGCCGATAGCGATACCACATACTTATTAAGCACATAGAAAATTACACGTTTTGTATTATGGGTGAGTAAATTTTCCTGAGGCGATCATTAAGGTGCTTATCTAATTTCTACTTGGAAAAGTGTGTAACAAACGTTTTGTAGGTAAGCACGGTGTATCTGTGCATGTATATGTATATGTAATTGTATGTGCGAGGACGTGTATGTAAATGTCTATTTCTATGTACAATACAGCACGCAAATCGAATGATGCAAGTATATAAGAGCGTTTGCTGCTTCAGTCCAAGGTCAAGCTTGCTTCGACTCCTACGAATTACCGGCCGGCTTGACAGCTCGCCGGTTCGCCTGGGAGACTTGTCGGCACCAACAACTGAAACTCATATTCCTGTTCAGGGAGCAGACGAACTCCACGTCAAACTACATATTTTTAGAAAATAGCCAGGTTTTTTCAAACAGAGATTAAGAAAATGTGGATCACGTTCCCGATTAGTTGATTCATATTTCCTTCATTTCGTAAAATATGAATCAATGTCATTTAAGATTTCTTTTCCGTGAATCTATGATAAAGCCCTAAATAAGAACAAAATCATTTATCTGCTTGATAAA